AATCCATTCTGTAAATAATGAGTTGATATTGTTTTGCTCTATCAAAGAATTAAACATGTTGGAACTTTCTCAAGGTACAAACTAAACAAGAACCTTTTGTAAAATCACATGTAATACACTAATATGGGTACTATATCCATCTATCGCCTCGTAATCTTCAATTTTAGATTCATGTATACTGATGATTTAAATTTCTTCGATATTGTGTTTAACACTTAAGATTACTATATTATGATGTATAAAATCGAAAATACTTATAGATGATGGTGAAAAAAGTCAAAAGCACAGTGTTCTAACTGTCGTTCATTTTTAAGTTTAAGCCTTCAAACTTAGAGTACGTAATTGTCTCATACCTTACGCTTCGTCATAAAATTGTTTCATGTATCCAATCATCTATTTAATTGATTTTCCTTCGATGGTCAACAGAAGTACAAAATTTTCGTCATTGATGATCTGTGTGCTGTTTTCAGTTATTCTAGACTAAGCTTTTATGGAGTCTTGAAAGTTTTCTCAATGTTCATCTCCTAAATCACTGGTTATTTAACAAAACCACTGTTCAATCTTTTATTATGCATTCTGTATCTTAAATAGTTGACATGAAAGAGTGCAAAATTTCTGATAAAATCAAGTATAAACATCTAAAAGATGATTGATATATATTGGGTCATTTATGATCAGTCGTAGATGAACACTTTGTTTATATTTTGTTTCTTGCCCCTAAGATTTTCAGAAATTTCATCATTTGTTTTTATTTATTATCGTATTACATGTTAATAAATATAAAACACATTTCTATTAATTTCTTATTTGAAATAAACTTTGATTAAAAGGTTATAACTTTTAGCTACACCAGATTGTTAATCTTCGTCGAAATTTCCCACAGTTGAACGAATTATCAATATCTTTTAGATTAACAAGAATTTTTTTGTTTTAAAAACTGTCATTATGGACTACATTAATGAAATAAACACTGTTTCTATTGTGTAAATTACTTTAATTTATGTAGGGAAACCTAATAGTGATCATCAATATGTGTGTTTTGATTTTATATTGTAGTTTCCATTATTGTTCTGAGTTCTTTATGTGAACAACTGGATGTTGCCATTTTTAAGTGTTGTACACACAAACAGCATCAAATCTTAGTTTATATAACATGTTTTCCAATTCTGATAATAGTACAACTTTTGAAGATTATATCTTATGTGAGATTGTATGCTAACACTACATATACACTTCATTTTTAGATTAAATCCGGACAAAGACGTGATAGCCAACTTTCATCAGGACTGCATAGTTTGACCGATAAAGTATTATCATTACGTGATAATTTACGCACTGTACTTACTCGTCATCGTATTTCACCAATACACACTAATATTGAAGCAGTAGATAATCAAAATTTACTCGATACCTACAATAATGACGGTGACAATGAATCCGAAGATGAAATAATGAATACACAAAATCCTTTCATTGAAAAATCATTTATTTCATTAGGTACACATAGTTTTACTGATAATCAGAACAATATTTCTCTGGAGATGCGAAAAGCGCGTAGCTGGAGTTCTCGAACATGTCGATAATCATTTCTATCATATTTTTTTCAAAAGATTAGTTTTCTCTGTTTTTGTATCGTTTGATTGGATGAATAGATGTTAGTACCTAACTGCTTTTTTTTCTTACCCGAAACTGATTTAAATATATAATCTATGATATATTCCTACAGGTCAGACGATAGTTGGCATATTTAACAGCCTTAATGCATTTCGTCTTGTTTGTCGATTTTATCTTCCTCACTTTTGGTGTCTCATTGATTCGTGTCAACTACACAAATTCTTACTGCTGATTTCCATTGGAATTACTCTGCCCGGTCCCTCGATCTGTAATCTTATTCTATTGTGTCTTCTATTTTGATTCCTTTAATTTCTTACTATCTGTAAAGTTGTTAATGCATCCAAATATCACTTTTTCATATTATTCCTCTCCTAATTCTTGTTTTCGCCCTCAAATTGTGTTATTTCTTTTTCTGACTATTGTGATATACCATTACTTACTGATAGGAAAATGTGTACATGTTTGAAAAAGAATATTCGCTTTCTGTGATTCCGTACATAATATAAACTTAAGCAAACAATATTGTTAATATTTTGCTTTTTTTTATTGAATTTTGAAAATAACAAAGTTAATTTACTATAAATAGCTAAATATTTTTTTGTGTTGATTGGAGTGAAATCATAACATTCGAAGTGAAACTAGTTGACCATAGTCAACATAGGGCTAGAAATAAATGTGCACTGGTACAATTCGATGCATATTATAATATCAGATGGACAGAAAATTCATTAGTTGTTAAGCAAAGTAAGATAAATGTATCCAAATTTAGTAGAAAGGTAAAAATAAGAAATGTAGCTCAGGAGACAAATGAGATCTAAGAATGAAAAGTACTCTAATTGATTGTTTATAGATGAGTAGTGAATAAATGTAACTGCTACAGTAAGATCCAATATCTTCAGCCATAAAGCACTATTCCGTGTCTGTGAACCAAGAAGTCTGGATTTATGGATACGGTACAGTCCAAAAATTAATGGCTTTAATAAAATTACGCTATATCTTTGATATGGCTCGGAAATGGTCACAACTGCACAGATCCAGAGTCTTAATATACCTTCATACATACCTTCCATCCATTCTTTTTTAACTCTATTCTCAATGTTTGGTCTTCATGATAATAGCTAGTACATTATTTCGACCACTTTGTTGTTCATCTTGTAGAGCTAATGTAGTGTGGCAACTTGGGCTAACACATTTTTGTACCACTCTCTCCATTGACCTTAACTGATTGACTTTATCTTCCATCTTACTCCTGTCCTTAAGCTTAACCTCAATATGAATCAGTTACAAGTTTCATCATACGCGAATGGTCCTAAAATTAGATTCTTGCCAACTACAAATGTTCTTTACTTTTATAGACTATGTTTTGAAGCTGCAGAGCAATAAGGATTTGACCTCTACGCAGCAGAAGTATGTCTACTGTCTGCCAGGGATTTTGTAGGTTGGGAAACGGCAGGTGTTTTGTACTCACCAAAACCCAGTTACTTGGTCATTACGCCCGGAGATCTCATTCTTCAATAGGAGGGATCCAGAAACTAGTATATGGAATGCTTTTACCAATACATTTTGGTTACATCATGTAAGCTATGTCAAAGATGGTTGTTGCTAAATATTCGTAACTTCGAATGATACAAGTTTGGGCCACAATAGACATTACTAGGTAGCAAGTTCTAAATGAGTAACGCAAATTCATTCTTGTCCAAACATTCGCCTTCATATCGTATGTACCGGCACTTTTATCCAGTCTTAGTATACTTATCTCGTCGGTTTGTTACTATGATTTACCCATACACCGAAGTACTACCTCCTATAGATACGTACCGTCCAAGTGACTAAATCTTCTTTGCTCTAGCCAACATTCCGTGTCTAGCCAGATTTTGAGATGCCACATAAACTAAACGCCCCACTTCGTCGTCTACCCGCTTTCAGATCTCAATTACTGAGATTCCTACATTGCCTAGGTGGAAACGTTTACTACCGGGCAGCCAACCTGATATAAAGTGTGTAACCTATAACTCTTATACGGCTGTAAAGAATTATATAGTTTGTTTTTAGCACGTAAGTAATTCGCCGCTGCTAATCGTGACAAACACATCTAACAGACTTCTACTTGACGACTACAAATTTGATGGACAAGATAACCTGCACAAGTTTCTCCTAGGTTTAATGAGCATCATCTCGGAGCAACACAAAAAGATTCAGTATTAATACATACATGATAATGGGCTCATCCAGCATAAATTTAGTCAGAGTTAGTTTTAAGTTTGAAAACCAATGGAACGTAGCACAAACACTGGAAATAACTAGTAGACCATGCATGAAGTAGAACCAAACTGTGACGTAAACATGTCCGTTTTACGACACGAATATGAGTCGGACCTACCACCGCTAACTGATGGCCGATAGGTCACTGACTTATCGACAGAGATGTTAAGGAAACAGTAACTATCTCGATTTGCGGTCTAGCTCAGGTGTAGAGACTGTATAAGAGCCAAGGGTTGTCGGGAAGGACGGTGTCAGTCCGTGATGTCATGGAATGGGCCATATAAGCGGATGCAGAGTACCCGGCTGGTGTTCTCGTGATCGCTATACCCAACAGCTATAAACCTTAGATGACAGCTCAAGCTGTTCACGATGGCACATAACCTGGCTACCGCACATACCATACCTCTTCGGAATGTATCCCTCATCTTTTCTATCAACATGATCACAACCACTACTCCTACTCTAGGGTTCGTCTTAGCAATCTTATCCATTCGGGCTAACGGACTATGGCAACTTGAGATGGCGTACCAATGTGCTAGGTTCGACTAACGCTAATAAAAAATGTGTACGACTTGTTACATAGTCTTAACATGGTAAAGACAAATGCGAACCTACTGCTTTTAGAAAACAACTTTTAGCTCTCCGACCAATGCGAAACACAGGCAACAAACACTACGAAGCCATTAGAATATTTAAAATTCCCATTGTGAAAATCAGGACACATGTAAGCGAACAATTGATTTCACGCAGATCGTCATGAATATAAATATTCACGTTCTATTAGAATATTAAGACCGGATTGGGAACTGCGTCAATTGCAATTTCACAGGAATCCATCAGGTAGTGTCATGCCACTTAGTGTAAGACAACTGACTATGGAATTTCTAGTAACTAGGCAATGTAAACACTTAAAATTGTAATACTCTGGAGTGCATTGTACTCTCCTGTAACCAAATTTCGAACTAATTATTAAACGTTCCGAAAACATTTCGCTAATAACTAAGAGGCGAAGATCACATTCATTTACATATCTGATGGCTTTTTCAAACATACTACAGTATGGATTGTGTGCAAACCAAGCATTAAAAAACAGATGCGCCAAATTTTATTTGGACAGAACTATGGGTAGCTTGACAGAACACGCAACAAACTAGCAGACTAGCTTACCTACCGCTGATAAAAATGTTTAACGAAGCATGTCTGATCTACCGTTGGATCTGATTAAAACTACTGTTGTGAACTTTGACTACAAATTTCAGTAGGGTTATTCAGAAACGCAATGACACCACAATCCTTTGATCGCATGATACAAAGAGAAAGACATGAACTCACGTCGATTCGTGGTTAAATATCTACTCGGAAGAGATGTTATGTAGCCCTCATGGAAAAACATTAAAAGAACTACCATGGTCATGCATGTATCCAATATATTCTGTACATAGGATGAAATCAACCGAACAAGTCAAAGCCCATCGATTCATCAGAATCGTCATCTGAAACTGGTTTCTTTTCTTCTTTTGCAGGTTCTTTTCCCTTTTCAGGAGCACTGTTGGCTACTGCCGCCGGTGCCGACGCTGGGGCAGCAGAAGCAGGTGCAGCAGACCCCAATGACATTAGCAGATCTTTGACATTCTTTCCGTTTAGAGCCGTTGCAAAAAGATTGGGAAGATACGATTCAACAAACTTGATGTTTGCAGCCTTCAGGATGGTATTTATTTTGTCAGCTGAAAATACAGAATTACTATATTAGCTCGAAAATAACACTACTCTACACAAAATATGCGTTATATTGTGACACTGACTACAGAGCATTTAAGTCACTACACTAGCAAACAAAATAAACCACGCTAATAGTATGAAGTATTCGAAAGGTAAAAGATACCAACTTTATTTCAACTACCTGTAACGTCGATATCATCGTCAGCTAACATCAAGGCAGCGTAAACACATGCTAATTCGCTTTTGGACATAACTAAAAACGTGAGCTGCTACAAGCCTTAGCCACGAGGGGAGCACCACGTTTGTAAAGCACCGACCCACTACTTTAAACAAAAGAGAAACACTCTTCAACTGTATCAATAAAATCTAAAGTGCCGTTTTATAATCTATATAGATTCACATCATCAAATAACAATTATTGGTGTTTCTAATGTTATGCGACCGTTATAGACACGATAATATGTTTTGAATGGGCTGTATAGACCGATATTAGAAACTTGGTCTGATTTAACTTGTCAAAGAACGTAACTCACTGTCCTGATTGTTGCCAAACAAACAAGTCAACAGGTTGGATTGGAATTTTTCTAACCTTGCATCAGAGATTGTTGGATTTCTAATCTCGAACTCCCTAGGACAAAGTATTCCTTAAAACATTTACACCCCTTCATAACTGGTCCACCTGATAACTGCACTCAAAAAAAATTTTTACAAAAAGGAACAAAGACATTTAAAGGGTGGAAGTCAAAAATCTACTCTGGTTGAGAGATTACTGGTTTATCAAAGTGAACAAATGACTAAATCCTCCAGAGGGTGTCCCTCTTTAGTCTGTCTGGTAATATTCGTCATGAGGATTGTAGTGGTGAGTAAGGTGTGGACACTGATGCTGAACTCACTGGTTTCACTAGACATGCCTTGCAAAAGACGCTCGGTTATGCAGATGCACCAGCTCACGAGTAAGGATGACGTTCTGTGTATCCCTCGCAACTGCTAGCCAGGTTAGAACAAACACTTCTTGACACATCTATTGATTTCAAAGTACGTCTTCGGACCTCTTCATTTCTGACTTCTGATTTGACTGGGTTGTTACAATTCGATCACAAAAGTATTACATGTAAAGGTGTTGGTAAACTTTAAATCCCTGTGGCAATTTAGAATTATACACCGAAGCCATCGTTCATACTACAGAGGAATACTCATAAAATAATCGGAAGTAAGCGCACTATCTAGAACAGTTGATGTCGTGCTACTGAGAGATGAGTGGTTGTGCCACTCAATGCTTGTGTCCGAAGAATCAAACTAGGTAGATCTAAATCTAAAAAACCAATTTTTCTTGTATAACGAAGTCATCAAGAAGCAACCGTGAGTTTTTCAAATTTTTACGAGGAAGAACGCGTACACAATACTGAATATCCTAGATCTGGACTTCTCAGCAGTACACAGCTCACCTTTCGAAACCGAAGGAATTTCCGGTCACTAGAACAACATAAACCTTTTTCCTAGATGGCATTTAACTCACTATTCTGTAGGAATGCGCGAATATTTCTTGCCTTCCTCTAGCTATTGTCTTCAGTTGTTGCTTGGCCAAAATCAGGCTACCATCCGAATGGAAAAAGGCAGTGGTTATGTCTTTGCGAAAATGGGATAACAAGATGAAAGCGTCCAATTACTAGCCAATGCCCCTGTTATACTCAGTAGCGAATATATCAAGGGGGGTGTACAATTTGTCTTTTTATAAGTTCCTTCTCTGTAAGTCTTTTTCCTCTGAGTCGTACGTCGTTTCCTGCCTGGTGGATCATGTAACAAGGATCTGTTAGTTTCTTGAAACAGCCGGAGCATCACACAAGAACACGAGTATTTGGTCTGTATTAACCACCTAGGATTCTACAAAGTGTTTGATTAAGCCAATAATCGTATTCTACTTGAAAAAGACTGAATTTTTGCAGGTGTCAATTGGTTATAACCCATCGTTATAGTTCTGCATATAGTGCATTTACTCTCTCTACTAGAATAATAGATCTATTCCACAATTATGCACTTGCGATTGTGGGACTACCTAGTCTATAAAATCTTACGTGGGAGCGACATCTTATTCTATGCTGACTCAACACCCCGAAGGACATATTTTAACTGGGGATAGAAAAATTTTTTCAGAATGCAAAGAGTGGTCACGCCTGTAAGGCAAAGCCATAACGTACCGACTGCAAGCTCCTCAGTTCACAGTTTTTGACCTTTTCTATGTTCGTAAGTGTTGAATATAAACCTGTTATTATATATTCAGCTTAAAAGTTTGTGTGGTTAGGAACCAATACCACTACAAATTTTCCAATATTCCTCTGTACGGTTGCTTGTCTACCTATCTACCCACTTGTTAAAAGTTTTTCGTCATCATATTGGTGCATACATACTTGAGACATGGTGACTAATTGATACTCTAGAGAGTTTGAACTCACTTTGATTCACTGCAGGCTAAACCAGTTTGATGAAATCCTTATTCATTTCACTACGATGCAATTGATGGATATGCTATTGCTGGTAGTGGCTCAAATCAACAGCTCTTGGTGGATTACTTCTATAGTGGCTGTAAGTTCTCGCAGACATTGTTTCGGAACCGCTTACTGAGGACGATTAAAAAGATCCCGTCATTGGTTCTAGTCTTAGCGACGAAAAGAGACAGGTCGTGTCTAACTACCAGCTTGTAAATCCAAGCAGCATAGCAGTCAATATATTTGAAAAATGGTTGATGAGTGGATCCTAAGCAGTGAACAGGTACACAGTTTGTTAACAAAAAAAACAAAGCTTCCAAGTGGACTTCCTTGCCTGACTGGCCTACTAATGGTGAAAGGGGATTGGACAGTTGCTCAAGATAACTGTTCACTTGTTAATGTAATACTCATTAACTTCAGCAAGACGTCCATTTTGGTCTTGTTTAGGGATTTTGCAGGATCATTTCAATGGTAGGATAAGATGCACGTAAAAAGACGGAATTACAATTTTCAGAAGTTTCCGAAAACAAGAAATAAGAAGCTAATCTACGTTTTTTACGAATGTTAACACACCTGAGTAAGTTTATTTTATGGGAACCATTTTAAGTACAACTTTATCAATACTCTCTTACGACGTCGAAACCTTGTCCATTTATCATAATGTATGATGCGAAATGGCGTTTCAGAATGTGCCAAGTGTCTTAAGTAATTGCTCGGGTTCTTTTTTCACTACTTCATGCTTCCATTCAGTTCTTTACACAATGAATGGATGTTGGTGCAAAATCATGCAATCTGTGAAAAATTCCGAACACTTTTGACAAAACATAAAATCCTCACTGTTTCGGTTGACATATCAAGGTATATCAGCCCTGTTTTCAATGTTGTGCCAGCCTATGAAGTCGTGCCAAATGTTACCAGAATAATTGACAATAAAATCTTTACATTTACATTCGTTCAATGACTGTATCGAGCTTTCTCTCTACGAGAAGTAATTCTTCTGTTCGGAAAGTTACTTTGGTAACAGTGATAACTTGATTCTCAAAAGGCAGGTTTACGCCAACTTCACATGCATTTTCAATGATACAAAAATGGGTCACAGATTGAGATACCTCGCCAGCTGAGTTAATTAAAAGATTAACTCTGTAAAATCTCACAAGAGAACATTTGAAAAGATATGATAAAAAAGTTATAAGCAGATTAGTGTGCCAGAAATTTATGGTACGTTTTCAAATGTTAGAAAGTCTAGATTTTCGACGGTGAAAATGAGATCTTTTCTAGGATTACGATAGTCAATTGCTATTTTAATCTAACCTCTCCAAAACTATTACTTGATGAAAAGTCTGGCCTGTTTTTTGGTTATGCCTCAACATCAACTCGTAAGGAAACATAACTACGAATGCATTATTGCTAAAATCTCTCCTGTAGAAAAGAATCCTGCTAAAACGAACTGACCTTACTACTCTAAATAACAACGGAATATATTTATAATGGAGCATTTATAGGCTATTTCTACGGGTATAGTCAACAATTTACAATATAGGTTTACAGACAGGATGCTTCTCAAGTAGCGTTGTAAAGTAAGTAAAGTCAATGAAAATAAACGGATGAATGTTCGTACAGATGTACGAGAGAGTTAATAGAACTGTACTATGAGTTCACAGCTTTTGTAATCTGCTCAAAAACAAAGTGTTCAGCTCTGGACCTTGAAATAACACAGTAGGTTCAAATTTGGCATTAGTGTTTGAATCATTTGATTTTCCTTAGACAGTTGAGAGATTCGTTTAGAAGTGTTATGAAACCTCGTAGTGAAAATCAAGATCCTTTCGAACTCACAAGGCTGATGCCTCTTCTGATAACTAGAACAATTTATATAAGTATGTGGATCGTCAGAACAATGAAGGAAATCGGTGGATCATTCAAATAGCAGTGAAAGTGAGCAGACACAACATTGCTATGTTTGGAATTGGTGAAACCCCTTGGACCCAAGCTGGATAGAAGAGATTAGCTTTCTGAGAAGTACTCCAGTATTCTGGCCATTAAGAAAAGTGCAATGTCCATTCATGGATTTACACTCATGCTTTGGAAAGAAACGCAAAGAGCGCTTATGGAGCGGGAATATAATAGATCTGGGATCCTCACAGCATCTTTTAAGACAAGTAAGATAGAGATTAAACGGGACATCATCCTGCTCTACACAACTATCAATGATAGCAACGATGATAAAGACCAGTTTAACGAGAAGCTTCGGTCCATGTTGGAAAACTAACCATAAAATGACCTGACTATCTTAATGGGGGATCTGAACACCAAAGTCGGAGTGGACAACACCGCATATGGATACAACATTGTCCGAAATAGATGGGGAGGAAAGAAAGAGAATTGTGATGGACTAACCACTGCGTGCACTTTTGTCAAATCAGTCATAAGTACAACAATTTACCCCCATTACCTCATGAACAAAGCTACACGGGTTACATTGAATCACAATACGCTGAACCAGAATGGTCACATTTGGATGGGTTGAAATTTATAATAATCCATTCAAAACGTCAGAAAAAAGACTAGAGTCGATATAGCATTAAATTACCACATGTTATCAGGCAAGCTAAAATTTAAACTAAGGAAGTATTGAACAATTGTTCAAGGAATATGACGAAGTTTAATATACTATTGCGTCGATACGCCGACTAACATGGTAAATTCAAAGAGGATCACAACAACAAACCGAAGGAAGTCTGAACAAGTTTTGAGAATACTAGAATATACAGGGCTGTAGCAACAAGATGAACGAGAAGTCAAATGAGAGGAACTTCATTCACGCGACTGCCTGATAACTAATTTTATGCAAAGTCATTTGTACGCCTAAGCG